GGCCCCGATGGCTTCACTGGAGAATTCTACCAACATTCAAAGAAGAGTTGTCACCAATACTACTCAAACTATTTCACAGCATAGAAAAGGAAGGAATAGCCCTGAATTCATTCCATGAAGCAAGCATAAGCCTGATACCAAAGCCAGGCAAAGACACCACTAAAAAATAAAATTACAGAACAATATCCCTCATGAATAAAGAATCTAATAACCAAATAGATAAATAACTCCAATAACAACCAAATGACAAATAACCCAATCAGAAAATAGGCAAAGGACTTGAATAGACATTTCACAAAGAGAACATTCAAATGGCCACCATCACATGAAAAGATGCTCACAGTCATTAGCTATCAGAGAGATGCAAATCAAAACCACAATGAGATATCATTTCACTCCCATGAGGATGGTTAGGATAATGGCGAAGATGTAGGGAAATTGAAACACTTATTCATTGCTGGTAGGAATGCAAAATGGTACAGCCGTTGTGGAAAATGGTGTGGTGGTTCCTCAAAAACTAAAAATAGAATTACTATATGACCCAGTAATTCCACTCCTAGGTATATAACCAAAATACTTGAAAACAGAGACTCAAGCAGAGCCTTGTAGACAAATGTTCACTGCAGCACTATTTACAATAGTCAAAAGGTGGAAACAACCTAACTGCCCATCAACAGATGCATGGATAAACAAAATGTGGAACATACATACAATGGAATACTACTCAGCCAGAAAGACAAATGAAGTCTTGATATATGCTACAACATGGATAAAGCTTGAAGACATTATGCTGAGTAAAATAAATCAATCACAAAAGGACAAATATTAAATGACCTCACTTATTTAAAAAGACAAGAAAAGGCAAACGTATAGAGACCAAAGTTTATTAGTGGTTACCAGGGGCAGGAGGGAGAGGGAAAGGGAAAGAGGGGGTATTGCTTATGGAGAACTGACTTTCTGTTTACAGTGATGGAAAAATTGCATTGATTAAAGGTAGGTTTTCACAGCCGATTAATGTAATTGCTGTCAATAAGTTGTACACCTGTAAAAATTTGAAATGTCAAAAGTTATGTGACAGGTATATTTACAATGACAAAAAAGAGTAGCTGCTGAGGCTGCTTATGTACAACAAAATACCTCATGGGATTTGGTTCTTTGGTTTGGAGGTTTGGGGTCATGGTTTCATGGGACATCCCAGTTAATTGGTCTAATAATGTGTTTAGTGCTTCTGTTCTACTTCCTAGTTTGTTGCTAGTGCTTGGGATCTTAAAAGCTTGCAAGCAGCCATGTAAGGCACAACAATTGGTCTCTATTCACCTGGATCAACAGAGGAAGAAGGAGAGTCAGGCATAGGAGGAGGATATGGAATGTGTGGCTAATTGCCTCCACAAACAATCACCTCCTTGCCATGGGACCAGAAGAACTGGATGATGCTCAGCTACCATTGCTGAACATTTTGATCAAAGATTCCATAGATGAATCCTGATCAAAACGGGGAACATGCAGAACAGAATTTCAAATTCTCACGGAATCCAGGTTTTCTGGAGCCATGGTGGCTGGATGAACCCCTGAAATTACTGCCCTGCGATCATCTTTAAACCTTAAACCAAGAATATCCCCTGAATTCTTCTTAAAACCAAACAATAGTTTAGCTTACCTAGTAAAAAATGTCTGCCTCGAGTGTTATGCTCTTTTAAGATCTATCTATATGGGATTAAATTGACAACTCAACTCGAAAGATTAGATAGAAATCTTAGGGTGCAGTGAGTCTATGTTAATGAGGAAGAAACAACTTAGAAAAGGAGGCTTAGAATGGTTGGTTACAGAACTCAAAGAATGTATTCATTGTCAATGAAATGTACATGTAGAAACTTGAATTGGTGTTATGCTTTTACTGCGTATATTCTCAACAACAACAAAAAATAAATTATATAAAGAAAATTTCCCAGAAGAGGAGGATATAAATTTCTCAGTTGAAGGGACCCACCAAGCACCTAGCAGAATAAATGAGAAAAGACCCATACCAAGGCACATCACTGTAAAATTAAGTAGCACCTGGGGACAAAGAAAAGATCCTGAAAGTTTCCAGAAAGGTTCAAAATACAGTTAAAAGACAAAGAAGAGGAATCATAATGGACTTTTCAACAGCAACAGTGGACACAGAAGACAATGGAGCAGCACCTTTAAAATTCTGAATAAACTCGATTTCGACTGTAGAATTCTAACCCAGCTAACCATACAAGTGTAAGAGTGAGAGAGAAAAAAAAAAGCTATTTTCAGGCATTCAACACTTTAAAACATTTTCCTTTCATGCAGCCTTTCTCAGAAAGCTACTGGGGTTGCACCCCACTAAAACAAAGAAATATGTCAAGAACAAGGAAGATAATGGAAACAAGGAACAAGAAATCCAAAATAGATAAATTGTACTTCATCAACATTAAAAACTTTTGTTCAACAAAAGGCTTTAACAACAAAGTGAAGAGACAACCTTCAGATTGGGAGAAAATTTGGGGGAACCATATATCTGATAAGGGTTTACTATCCAGAATACATAAATACCATCTACAATTTAACAACGAAAAGACAAACAACCCAATAAAAAAAGGCCAAAAGTCTTGAATAGACATTTCGCCAAAGAAGAAATGCAAATAGCCAACAAGCACCTGAAAAGATGCCCGCCATCACTAGTCGTTGCTGTTCTTGGGTGCTGTGGAGTCAACTTAGAGAAATACAAATAAAAACCACAATGAGATATCATTTCACCCCCACTAAGATGGCTATGGTCAAAAAATGGAAAACAACAGGTGTTGGCGAGGATGTGGAAAAATTGGAACCCTCATCCATTGCTGGTGGGATCGTACAATGGTACAGTCTCTGTGGAAAACAGTTCTATAGTTCCTCAAAAAGTTAAACACAGAATTGCCATATGACCCAGCAATTCCACTCCTTGGTTTATAGCTCAAATAGTTGAAAGCAGGAACACAAACAGGTATTTGTATACCCATGTTCATTGCAGCACTTTTCACAATAGCCAAAAGGTGGAAACAACCTACATGTCCATCAACAGATGAATGGATAAACAAAATGTGGTATATACATACAATGGAATATTACTCAGCTATAAAGAAAAATGAAGTCCTGATACGTGCTGCGATAGTGATGAACTTTGAAAATATTATGGTGAGCTAAATAAAACAATCACAAAAGCATAAATATTGTATGATCCCACTTACATGAAATATGCAGAATAGGCATATGTATAGAGACCAATGTTTATTAGTGGTTACCAGGGGCAAGAGGGAGGGAAAAATGGGGAGTTATTGCTTAGGGGGTTGTCATGGATTGAATTGTGTCCCCCCAAAGTATGTGTCAACTTGATTAGGCCATGTTTCCCAGAATTGTGTGGTTGTCCTCCATTTTGTGATTGTAATTTTATGTTAAAGAGGATTAGGCTGGGATTGTAACACCACCTTACCCAGGTCACATCCCTGATCCAATGTGAAGGGAGTTACCCTGGGGTGTGGCCTGCACCACCTTTTATCTCTCAAGAGAGAAAAAGGAGAGGGAAGCAAGCAGAGAGGGGGGACCTCATACCACCAAGAAAGCAGTGCCGGGAGCAGAGCATGTCCTTTGGACCCGGGGAGAAGCTCCTAGTCCAGGGGAAGATTGATGAGAAGGCCGACAGAGAGAGACAGCCTTCCCCTGGAGTTGATGCCCTGAATTTGGACTTTTAGCCTACTTTACTGTAAGGAAATAAACTTCTCTGTGTTAAAGCCATCCACTTCTGGTATTTCTGTTACAGCAGCACTAGATAACTAAGACAGGGGTAATGAGCTTAAGGGTGATGGAAAAATTTGGAAATGGATTGTGGTAATGGTTGCATAACACGATGAATGTAATTAATGTCACTGAATTGTACATATAAAAATGTTGAAATGGCAAATATTTTGTTATATATATATATTTACCATAATCAAAAATGATACACATGCATTTCTTTGACATAAATAAAAACCGAGTTTTTAAAAAGTTAAACAAGACTGTGCTAAGAAAGAGGGGAAAAAACCTCTATAGGCAACTTACTTATTATTTTGGAAGCAACTTTTACCCTAAGGGGGAAAAAGTGGTGAAAATTATTAAGGATGAACACTTTTCTTGTTTTTACTCTAAAAATTTAGGGGTGGTGGTGGTAAAAAAGCATGAATACTACAGGTATTTCTAGATAGAATCATTTAATACTTTGAGAGTAGTAGGATATAGCTGCATGGGAAAACAATCCACCCTTATTCCTGTGACACATCCAAACAAGTTCACAGTTATATCACAGAGAAAGTACAGGTAACATTGGGCTACAAGGAAGAATAAGGTCTGGAGAAAGGGCCATTTCTTGTGGGTAACCTGATAGCCAAAGACTTGCTTCAAGTAAAGATCTGCTTATTAACTCATGTGATAGCCACTATAAGTCCTTTCATAATTCACAGTATAACTCAGAATCATATACGAAGAAATGTACCTTCCTCAGAATCTAAGTATAGTCATTAAAACAAAATTTCTTCACAAGTAGGGACCATGTTTGTTATAACATATGATAAGGCATTAGACTAAACCAGTTGCTGTTGAGTCGATCCTGACCCATGGCAACCCCATGTGTGCCAGAGCATAAATGTACTCCATAGGGTTTCCAATGGCTGATTTTTGGAAGTAGACTGCCAGGCCTTTCTTGCGAGGCACCTCTGGGTGGACTCGAACCCCCAACCTTTCAGTTAGTAGCAAAGCGTGTTAACCACTTGCACTAGCCAGGGACTCTACTAGAATAAATGGGACAAAATTACAAGTTCCCTATTCTGAATGTATCCTTTAAGAAAAAAAAAGTACAATTCCAGTACTACTATGCATATTATGTTGTCTTTTCATCATCAAAAATTATGTACTTGTTTTCTTCCCATTCAATTAAAGAGAGATGGTAGACGTGAGCAAATGCTACCCTAGTAATACTTTACCTGGTACTGGAACTGAATGGGCTGTAGTTGGCTGTCATTCTGAGTCATTTTCCTAGCTAGGGCTTCTTTCAGTGCAAGGGCTTTATTCAACTCAACTAGCTCCTTAGACATCTGAGCTTGACGTAGAGCATGCTGGGTGGTGAAAATGTCAGAAGACCTGCTGGTCTCTGGACTTGTTTCCACTTGCTGGAAGAAATAAGGATAATGATTTGTTAGAGAAAACAGCAATTGAAGTTCCTTAGGCACTGTTTCATCGATTCTCAAGGCCAGTTCTCTACTAGCAATACCTCTGTTCTTTTATAACTGTGGCTTCTCATACATTTGCTTTAAACATCTGAAATAAATTAAGTTAGTCTATTTCACTGCTCTCACAAGCACCTTATTTCTTTCAGATATTTTAATTGACTCTTAGAGCGAACTAAGTTTCCTTTTCTTTCCTTTATTGATCTGTCCAATATTTCTTACTTTTATCTCATTCCAAGGAGTCATTAGAGGAGAGAGGTTCCTGGAAATGGCACTCTGGGAATGGTGGAAATGGAGAAGAGGCCTCATTTATTCTCACAGAGCTGACCTCTAGTACTTGATTTATCTGCTATCTTCCTTCTTTCAGAATACGAAAACTACACATATATATTCATTTGAGGGGGAAAAGCCATCTCAAACAAACCACTGGCCAGTCTTTCATTTTGATTTTACTCCAGAACCGTTAGCCATTGTGTCTATTCTTGCAATGTGAGCAGTTGGTTCTTTTAGCCCTTAACAATCCCATTCGTAGAAAATTATGCTCAGAAAAAAAATGTTCTTCCATTTCTGCTCTAATGCTTTTTTTGACTTCGTCAGAATTTCCTAATTTGTTTCCTTCCTAATTTGTCCAGCTCATTTTAACTTGCTGGACAGCTGATGACGAATACTAGCATATAACAAGAAATCAGTAAGCCAGATTGTAAATACAGAATGTGACACCTCTGAAAAGTCCTGCCATCCATTACCAATTATACTATTAGAGATAGAACCTATCCAAGCTAGGGATTTTACACTCAAGATTTCTGGATTTGTAGGCCATTCTGTGGAGGATGGTAACAATCACAGATTCTCTTCTTCAGATGAGTGATAAATTATAGGAAATGACACAATTAAAGCTCCCAGTTCTACACAAAGGGGCCAATTACTTACAGCTTCTGGTTCCACTGCAGTATCAATGGCTGCAGCCATGCAAACAACAGTTTCATCCTGCAGTGACAAATGTTTCAGTTTAGGAAAAAAATTCTGAGGTGAAGCTACTAGTGGATTTTATACTGGTTATTCAATTTTTTTAAAGTATATACAGGGAGTACTTAAGGTACTGGATCCATTTTGTAGTCACATATACTTCAACAGCCACACATTTCCATTTCTTACCTCTCAAGAGTCTTTCTTCTTTATAAAGGGTGATTGTGTAGTGTATGTAAAAAATAAGTTCATGTGGCAACTGACATACTTATTGTACCTCTTCTGATCTGCCAGAGATGATTAGGCCAGATTGAAACACTTAGCCATTCCAACAGGTCAAAGTTTAATCCACTTTACAGACTCTACCTTTTCTTTTTATGCTCCTACCACTAAGTCAATCTCTATAATGTACAGATCTAGCTAGTCTCACAGGCATGCCCTCTAAACCAACATATCAAATATTGGCAATGCAGCAGAAAAGTGAATAGAATGAAGGGTTATCTTTGATTTTTATTTTACAGTCAGTCAAGGTAGCAAGAGCCTACTCTATAAAGAAATAAATGTACTAGGTGGGTACCCAGGAAAAATGTGCTCAGGAAATCAGACAAATGTACTGCAGCACTGTCCCTCATATAGATAAGAACAGATCATATGCAGCTGCTCCAGTTAATGGTTACTTGGACGGGAAAAGGTAAGCACTGAATCCCTCTCAAAAGGGCAAATTTCTTTTTTGGGCACCTAAAAGGGAAACCTAAAACCACTTACTAGGCCTGATTTGTTTATATGCTATCATATGAGCAAGCTCTTTTCTCCCCACGGGAATTTAGGCTTTATTTGGCATTGCAACATACAATTATCACTTCTGTTTAAGTGATTCTGTAGAGCCCTGAGAAGAAAGGATTATTTCCACGAAGTCACATGATTAAGGAGATCATAGGTGAAAGAAAATAGTTATTGGCTTAATAACAAGGAAAAAACATAGAGTTAGCACATGATTTACAGTACTGGTGATTCTCCAAGGGTAGGACGTACCAAATTCTTCTTAAAAACAGAGTAGTTCAATATATTATAGGTTAATGGGAGTCACGATCAAAGTAGATGGGTTGGACCTTGAAGAAGACTTGGTTACTGTGGGTTTACCTTCGGCTTTTGGCCCAGTGAAAGGTTCAGAATGCTAAGGTTTAAGCTCAAGGCTATGGTGACATGTTCTACATGCACATGGCAGGATTCTACCTTCATTACCCTATATGTAAATATCTAACAATAGGACTTATTTCAATCTAACAGCCCACTTTCCTCCCATTCCAAGGCTACAACTAAGAATCTCTTGTAAGTAAAAGATCTGATTTGCTGAAGATGATGGTCAGGGGAACAAGGCTAGGGTACATTGTGCTACATTAACCAGCAAAACTCTCCAAAATGAAGTTTGTGCTGTAGGTTGTAGGCAATATTAATACTGGGCATGCAAAATGCCTTTTAAGGAACAGGTCTTGAAGGAGGGGATAAAAATAAACAAACAAAAAAAGTATTTGATATTGTGGGAAGTGAAAAGATTGTATGAATTTCCTCACAGGTAAATGCAAGAAGAGGTTTGCTTGAATTATAATTTTAAAGGAAGAAATGGTACAGTTTAGCACTTAAAGCTCCTAGGAGGAAGACCCAGGAACAATGGTTACCTTTATAACTGAAAAGGGGTGTTCACCCTTTACTTAAAAATAGTTTTAACCCAGACTGAAGGGCGTAAGCATTTACATTGGAAACATTTTGCTTTCACTGTAGTTAGTCTTAATAAAAGCTCCAGGATACATTGTTGTGCACAGTTGTCCCTCAGAATCCACAGAGGATTGGCCCAGGACCCCCTGTGGATACCAAAATCCAAGGATACTCAAGTCCCTTATATAAAATGGCATAGTATTTGCATATAACCTATGAACATCCTCCTGTATACTTTAAATCATCTCTAGATTACTTCTAATACCTAATACAATGTAAATGCTATGTAAATAGTTGTATCATCACAATTGAAGACTGCTCTGGAAGGTAGTCTTTCTCTTCTATGAGTTCCTTGAGCTCTTCTGGGAATGCTGATGCTGCCTAGGCATCAGCCGATGCTGATTCTCCCGTGACCTTTAAGTTCTTGAGGCTGTGCCGCTTTGTATAGCCAGCCAGCAATCCCTTACTAGCCTTAAACTCCCTCCTCTCACTCTCCTCAACCCCCTCACAGTAGTGCTTACAGAGGCTAAGAGCTTTTTCACACATAATTTTGCCATCAACAGGGATATGCTTTTGTGACATGTCCTCTAGCCACACACTTAATGCTTTCTCAGTCTTTGCAAGCACTTTATCACGAACCAGAGAGACCATTTTTGCCATTGCAGGGGCAGCACTAACACTTTCATGAATTTCAACTTCTTTCTGCTGTATTGTGCGAATGCTGTATTCGTTCTTACCGACCTTACAGCTCACTTCCGCAAGTGACATGCCACTTTTCAAAAGATCTAAGATTTTTATTTTCTTGTTGAGAGAGAGCACTTTACACTTCCTCTTAGCCTTTGAGGGATTGCTTTGACCACTTAGTTCCTTTTTAGGAGCCATTTTTTCACAGAAACAAAGGGTACACACAACACAAGTAGTGAATCAACAACGCTCAAGCAATGACTGCTAGAGAGAGACCGAGGATCTGTGAAACGGCGAGAAGCTATAGCAGGGTATGCCTACACATCATTTCATTTGCGTGGATTCACTGTACTGCTCGGCATGTGGTACATTCAAGTTTTGCTTTTTGAAACTTTCTTCCCCCACTCCACCAAATATTTTTGATCCAGAGTTGGTTGAATCCACGGATGTGGAAGCTATGGATACGGAGAGAGGACTGTATTTAAAAAAAAAATTATTTGGGCTGGTTTCCAAACAATAGACACGAAGAACTTTTATTCAAGTGTCTAGCAGGAGTCCTGGATAAAAGGGTTTACTCTGCCTAACTGTGACAGTGGATGGAAGCCAGGGACTTTATCAGCTTTTGGCAATCTTTAGCACCCTCCTTTTGTGAGTGCCAAGTGCATTTTAGTGGCAGACACAGTGATTCTACAGAACTCCTCTGAGCCAGCCATCACTAGCAACTTGCTCTACAGGCACCCCAGGTACCAGTCATACTGCCAGATCCTCACTAAGGGTGCCTTAGCTTACTTTTTTGATTTAGTTCCATGGGTTTCGTTCTTCATCTTTTCCATGTGACTCAAACCCCCAGAAACAAGGCTATACAAGGTCCTCTAAGATTGGTGTGGTGGACACGAACAATGGTGCCCTGGGTCACTATTTTCTAAGCTTGTAAGCTTTGACTGCAGTAGGGTTCTGCAGCCTAGATTATCTTAACTCTGAGGCAGATCACACAAGGTTTTCATATATCAGATGTTTCCGAATTAAAGATCGTGAAATTTAACCTTGTGATAGCCATTGTCTAGCATGCACTCTATACTTAAGCCACACTGAAGTTCTTACCATTTTCTCAACATTTACTTTCATACCTCTTTGCTTTTGCATGTGCCTTTTCCTCTATGCGGATTGTTCTTTTCCCTTTGTCTGCATGGAAAACTCCTATTCATATTTTAGGACCCAGTTTCTTCTGTGATACCTTCCTGAATTTTATAGGCAGTCAATCACCCATTCTTTTGTCCTCATACTGCTAATGTAAAAGGATTAAAACAGACATGATAGAGGGTTTCCAGTTTTCCTTGACTTCATTCCCTTTCCCTGTTGGTTTTTTTTTTTTTTTTTTTTTTTTTTGCTACCTCTCCTGCCCTTGAACCTTGACTAACCAACGCACAAGGCTTGCAAAACCAACTCTTGGAAAATTATATTCTGACAGTTACTGGGATGGAACTGTACCAATCATCCACAAGAGGCATGACAACTGGAACAACCTCCAACCAACAGTTTCACAGCAATTAAAAACAAAAACTGCTACCTGAGCCAAACCACAAGGACACATACCACTCTCTTCTCTTCACTCTATAAAAGTTCAATCCTGCTTCAACTTGAGTTACCTGGAGTTCAGGTTCTTCTTGAGTGCATCAGCTGAGTAATCTCTATTTGAGCCACTTAAATTGTTTTATTTTGACATTAATACAGCACTTAGCAAGGTTACACAGTTAGTAAGTGGCAGAACTGGCATCAAACCATGTCTGTCTGGCTGTGGAGACCAGGATCTCAATTACTATACCCTGTTTGTTGGATAAATGTACTGCCACCTTAGACTGCTCATGACAGTTTTGTACAATACTAATTCTAAAACACTGCCTCCTAGTCTTTTGGGGGTTTATTCATTTAATTTCTTGGAACTGGCCATCCTAACCACTCCCTGATACTGTATAACATGTTTTTTCTCCATTTACTCTTTAAGAGCAAATATATACATGGATGATTTTGTGATACCTTCTTCAGAACTCTAGAAAACATTGGGCAAGACCAGGAGTGGAAGAATCAGTGTTCTGGTTCAATTAAAACCTCTTCCAAGGGCTAGGAATTATCACAAGACATTTACATGTACAGTATTGCTTCAGAATAATACACAAGAGAGTGTAGATGGTACGAAATCAACCATAATGCCTCAACCAACCATAACACCTTAACATACTATGTTATACTATGATTTCAATTTTAAAAAGTATATATGCCTAAGGACTATAGCAGAAAAGGAACACAAAAAATAAAAATAGACTTCCGGCAAGATGGCGCTCTAGGCAGAAACACCACGCCGTCCCTCCACAACAAAGATCTGAAAAACTAAGCCAAACAGAGAATCAACAATCCTGAAACCCTA